AGCACCAGGTGGTGAAGCGCTGCGGCGTGTCCCTAAATCCAGCTTTTTTGCAGTAACTCTCCCCTGTCTCCTTGGAAACTAGCAGTGCTCCCCAGCCCTGGGCTCCTCCTGGAAATGCAATCACCCCCAAACTTGTCCCTGCTTTGGGGTTCTCTGGGTTGGCTCAGCCTGGAGTGGGAGCGGAGTGGCCCCAGGTGAGGGGGGGACTGGGAGGTGCAGGGCTGGTGCTGGCAAGGAGCGGGCAGGGAGGAACATGTAGGATGGGGCAAGGAGCGGGCAGGGATCGGGCAGGGACGAGTGGGAAGGTGTATTGGGAAGGGCTCGGACAGGGAATCAGACAAGGAATCAATCAGACAAGGAATCAGCCCAGGAGCAGGGGGGGGGATCAGACAGGGAGTGGGCAGGGAGCAGGCAGAGGAGCCAAAGCCGGTGACTGAAGTAACTCGAATGTGGCTGGGGGGGTCAAGACTTCCCTCCTGGTTTTCTACTTTTTCAATTTTGTTTTTCCTATGGTGGGAAATATCACCCTGCAGAACAGGGAGAGGTTTTCTTATATTTATACTTTTGGGGGCTCGGAGGGGCACCTCAAATCGAACACCCTTCTAATCAGCTCTTTCCCCCTAAATCCAGCTTTCCAACACTAAACCGACATGGTCCCCCCAGTTTTCCCCCGATTTTATTGGATCCAGACTTGCCTCCCGCAGCCTAACTTCAGAGGAAACAAATTCAGCCAAACGGGAGATCTAAAACATTAAAAATGAGAAAGGAATTAAAATGCTCCTTATATAATATTTTGAGTTTGCCAACTCACCTTGGGATTTTTGCCTTTTGCCCACGCGAGTGCCCATTTAAATTAAAATCAGAAACAAACAGGTAAAGAAAATGTGGAAAGTGCAAAAAGCCAGGGGAAATTCAGAGAAATTCCTGCCATGAATTCGCTTTTCTGATAAAAACGAGCACTAGCCAGAGGAGCTCATCCCTAACAGACAGGGAAATACTCGAGAAAGAAAAGTCAAAGATAAGATGGGAAAAGTAAAATGGGAAAAGAGGTTTTAAAGCGGCTTTAAAAAAGAAAAAAAAAATCAAAAGCCCAGAAAACAAAGAGCTTTTCCAGGCAGGTGGGATGCTGCACCCCAGTTCGACGAGGACTTGCTTTTTCCAAGCGTATTTTGCTTGAATAGTTTTTTTAGGGGGGGCTAAACTTTCTTGGATTGAACCAAATCAGCGGAGAAATGAAACTTTCCGCGCTGCTGCCTGGGAGCAGCCGGCGGCGAGGACCCGGCTGAGCCATCCCCGGCAGCCCCAGCCTCCACGCTGCTTTGCTCTTCCCAAACCTCCCCGCCACATATCCTCCCGTTAAAAAAAAAATAAATGAGAAAATCATCGACCGACAAGTGCTAACACATAGCCGCGTAAAAATTCGCCTTCGTTCCGAGCCGGCCGATACATTTATTTTAGAGGCTGATCTTTTCTCGCGGTGGCGGGGGCTGTACATGCAGCTGTGGGAAGGAGAGGGTTCGCTGGTGCCTGCGGAAAGGGGACAGCCCGTTTGGGATGCAGGGATGCGAAGCCGAGGGATGGCCAGAGAGGACCGCGGTGGGGTGACGGTGGCCGCACGCCTGTGGCCCCCAGGTGACTTGCAGGCAGGAGGGCGCTGGTGACAAACTGTGGGGGACAGCCGGTGACAAGGAGCGGGATGGTGATGGGTGCCTTTTTCTGCATCTCTCTCTCTTTCCAGAAGTCTCTTTTTTTGCTGTGTTAAATCCAAAGTGAGTTCGGGGCTCAAGCGACCCCAGCGATGCACATGGGAAGGAGAGAGGGAAAAAGAGGGAGAAGGACAGAGAAAGAGCCACTAAGAGCAGGGATGCTTGGGAAGGGCCTGATCCTGCATCATAGGGTGCTGCGGCTTCAACTTGTGAAACTGTGGCTTAAACACTTGTTCCCCTCCTTCCCCATCACCTCTGCTCGGGTGATCCTGCCTGATTACTCCCAGGTCCTCCCTTCTCCTCCCTTCCTCAGCCTGGAAAGTTTAGGGCTCTTCCCAAACTCAGCTGGGGACCAGCACCTCGTGGGCTGCCACAGAGCAAACGCACCCCTCCCGTCCCCACGACGAGATTTAGGAAAGCTTGGAGGGAGGAAGGTCACGTTATCCAAGACCTGTTTGTAATGAATGTTTTTTGCTTAAAAAAATAAAAATAAAAAATAATCCTCCCATCAGTTTGCTTCCTTCACCTCGGGGAGCGACTGGTAAAACCCCCTTTGTCTCGGCCCTGCAGAAGCAGCCGGACCCTCCTGGTCCCCCGCGCCTGGCTGCAACCGAGAAATCCCTGCGGCAGACGGCATCGCCCCTCTCCGTCACTCGCCGGATGCGATTAAAATCGAAGACAACCATCAGGTGTGCTAGAACCATTTTAATATAATTATACATATCTGCCAAATCCAGGAAAAAAAGGTTTATGCATATATATTTTTATTTTTTTTTTTCCAGTTAACATCTGCAAGCATAAACGACAATGAATTTCTCGGTTTAAATTCATCCAGGTCAGAGCAACTGCCCAAAGTCCTGTTGGATTTGACGGTTACTGCCAGCGTAGCCAGCAGTAAGTGAGGTCCAGAGGAGTTTAATGTCCTCGGGTGGGCTTTTTTCGGTCTTTCCTCTTTCATTCAGAGACAGTTTGTTGTAAAAAGTTTCAGTGCAGTTCACCTCAGGTGAAAGG